ATTAGTTTTTGATAAATATCTATGGATAACACAGAGGAAATATAATTATTATTAAAGGTGGTCCGGCGTATAAATTAAATTAGGTTTATTTATTTTTACTTAAATCCCATCATCCCTATTTTTAGATTTATTTGTTAGTCAACAAATGGTCTATTAAGTAATGCTAACATTTTGGTTTGGAATGGAGGGATTTTACTGGATTTTATGTCTCCTCTCCAACTACACACGCTCTCCCTATAACACAGACCATAACCAAAGAGTCTTTCATTCTATTTCGTCTACTACTCAAACCATAATTTATCATGTAAGTCTTCCATTAAAAGTTACCTACTAGTGTTCCACCTCTCTCGTATGCTATGCAAACTACAATGGATAAGTTTTTTATTTTATTTTTTATACACATGCACAGGGATAAAATGATATAAAATTTATTTTTCTTCAAATTTATTTTTACATTCAAATATTAAAAAATAATTCATTTCATTTTAAATACAATTCATTCCAAACATAAAACTGGAATCCCATTTTAGTTGGAATCTTATTCCTTTTTTAATTCCAATTTCAAATCCAAAAGAATTTGGTTCCAAACAAAGTGTGTGATTTTTTTTTTTTCTTTATAGAATTTCAAAACTACCCCCTAATGCTTAAACTACCCTGATCATAAAACGAGGAAGAGAATACAATTCCAAGGAATGAAGCATCTTGTTGAAAAACCGACACGGACTAGTCTTCAGCAAGATATGTCATTTAATATGCTTCTTTTGGGTCACAAATTCCATTCCCACTCACCTTAACATTTAGGATAACAAATGGTGCAGTTTCTGGTATATTTATGTGATTAGAATAAACGCCAACATTTCATTTCGCGGAGCACATAGACCCAAACGTCTCAGTTTTTCTCTCTCTACATATGAGAGAGGGACAGTACCATGATTTCACAACAAAAATAGGACAATTTGAAAAAATAATAATAATAATAATATATTGTGAATTTATACGTCCATCAAAATTCCATTTTTTTGAAATTATCCCTTATTTTTATCCAAACTCTTATGGATTACGATTCTTGATTGGTCAACCTCTCCATTTTCATTTTATCCGTTAGTGTTTGATTCAAATTCATCGTCGTCTCTGTTGTCCTAATTATCTATTGGATTTTTCAAACAGTATGGCTGTAGACAATCCTGAGTACGGATTAGGCAAATTGTTTATCTGTACAAAATAATATAGAACACCATAAAAGTCATTTATATATATATATATATATATATAAAGGACCAATATCAAAACTCATACAAAATGATGGAATTTAAGTGAAAAAAATACTGCTTTCCAAAAATCAAATTTAATAATTTTATTATTATTATTATACTACTTACTAGTTACTACAACATATAACTACCACATATGACTTGTGGGGATGTTGCATGTACCCTGAGGTGGATTAGTTTCACTCGTACAGTGTGAGGTTACATTTTTTATGAAAAAAAATATATATATTATGTGTTACGAATTGGGTAAGTGTAAAAAAAATCTCCCCATTATATACAAAATGTGTAAATATTTCTTTTCAAAAACCTTTATGCTGCATTTAGTGTGTAGGAATGGAATGAGAATGTGAATGGAATGACTATTCTCATTCCATTGTTTGGTTGTAAATATGAAATGTGTAGAAATAGAATGATAATAACCATTCTAGTGTTTGGTTGGACCAATTTAAAATTTAAAATAGAATAAATTTCAAATTGAGTTCTTCAAAATATCCCTCTAATTAGTAACAAACAAATTAAATTAACAAAATGACATTCTTCTATAAATTTTAAAAAATAAATGGTGACAGTGACGGTGGTGGAGATGGAAAGCGGCAGTGCTATTGGAAGGCGGTGGTGGAAGGTGGCAGTGGTGTTGGTGGAAGGCGGTGACAGTAGTGTGGTGGTGGTGGTGGTGGTGATGATGGTGGTGGAAGGAGACAGTGATGTAGGTGACGATGGTGGAAGCCAATGGAGGTGACTGTGGTGGTGGTGGAAGGCAGTGGAGATGGAGGTGGTGGAAGGTAGTGGCGGTAATGGAAGACAGTGGCAGTGGTGGTGGTGAAAGACGGTGACGGTGGTGGAAGGCAGTGACGGTGGTGGTGGTGGTAGTGGAAGGCGATGACGCTAGTGGTGGTCGTGAAAGGCGATAGTGGTGGTGAAAGGCGGTGGCAGTGGTGACGGTGGTGGTAGTGAAAGGCAGATGTGGTTGTGGTGGTCCGGTGGAAGGTAGTGATTGTTTTTGGACGGGACGGATCTTGTCCAAGGGAATTCCTCTCCTAATATTTCAAAGGATTTAATCTTATGGCTGTTATAACGCCATATCACCATCTTATCATTCTCACATTAATTTACGAAAACTTAATTAAATATGATATCTTTTGAATTCCAAAATAACAATTACGGCTAATTTCCCATCCCGCTCATTTTACTTTTTGGCGCTAAAATTTCCATATACGACTCCATGGATCCATAACTGACCTCTTCTTCTCCCTCCCTTTCTCTCTCTAGATGACTGCACAACAGAGAATCCATGGTAGAGATCCACAAGTGTTGCTATTTGACTTGGATCCTTGCCGTTTAAATGCGTGAGGTGAGGCAGAAGAGGCTGAAGTCGACGTGTCAATTTGGTGCAGCGGAGGCAGTTTGGTTGAGGGCGTTGTTTCTCTCTCTAGTTGTTGGGTTCTTTGGGGTTGTATGTATATATACGTGTATGTACATTCTGTATACACACATTTGCCTTTTAAATCAAAATTGGTGCTAATATTGTTTTGCTTATATAATAATTTAATAAATACATATAAGATAAATAGTATATTTCTGTTACAAAATAAATAAATATTACATCTCTCTGGTTGATGGGTTCTTTGGGTTTGTATCTAATATATATATATATATATATATATATATATATATATATATATATATATATATATATATTCTGTATATGCATGTTTGCCATTTTTAATCAAAATTGATGTTAATATTGTTTTGCTATAATATATAATAATTTAATAAGTATAAGATAAATATTATATTTTTGTTAAAAAATAAATAAATATTACTCCATACAAATTCTAAAGTTGAATCAAACAGAATTAGAATTCTAATATAATTAAAAAATAATAAATTGAACTAGAATTGTAATTTAATTCCATAACCAAACGTACCCATAGTCTTTTTTTTTTTTCATTAATAGATAAAAGTTGCCTATTGAAAAAAAAAAAAAAAAAAAAAAAAAAAAAACAAGAAAAGTGTATATTTTACTAGTGATGATAATGTGAAATTTAATTTATTTATTTTTGTTAATGTTCTTTTTTTTCTGTTAATATTTTTTCTATATCAAACATTTATTTTGATGTTGATGATACTATTAAGGTTAGTTGTTGTGTTTTAAAATATTTTCCTAATACGTGATTAATTGTATGGAACGGATGCCAAAAAATACCATATTTAATTGAGTTTTGGTAAATTAATGTGGGAATGGCAAGATGGTGATGTAGGGCTATAACAGTCATAGGATTAAATCCTTGGAGATACTAGAAGAGGAATTCCCTTGGAGAGGATCTGTTCCTTTTTTGGACTTGGAATATGAGGGTTTTTTTGGAAAGTTGATTTTAAAAAAAATATTACTTAGGAATGCAAGGGCCATTCCAAAGGTTTTGTGGAATGGATTTTCCTTCCAATATATGGAATGACTATTCCCATTTTAAATTGATTTCATTCCATTCTATTCCATTCCTACACGCTAAACGCAGCATTACATATTTCAAACTAAACAAATAAGGACAATTCTTTGAAAAATAAACTACTTAAAATGCCCACAAAATAAAAAATAGATAAAATAATAATATTTTTTTATTTTTAGTTTTGTATTTATTAAAAAAACAAATATTTAAAATTCCCTTAAAAGGTGTTTTGGGGCTTCACAAAAAAGTTTGGTCAAAATTGTTGACCCAGGGGCAAATTGCACAAATGTTCAAAATAAATAGTTTTATATGCACTTTTTTGAAAACAAAGGTGTTTCTTGGAATTATTTTATAGGGTAAAATGCGTAAAAAAAAAAAAAAAAAAAAAAAAAAAATCCCTGAACTATGGGGAAACCCACAACTAACTCCTTGAACTACCAAAAATGCAAGAAACCCCCTTAACTATGCAAAAAAGTTGCAGATCACCCCATTCGGCCAAGGTTCGATGACAATTAGCTAATAAGATTTGTTGAATTATTTTAAAAAACAATACTGCCCTTAGAAGCATGAAAGGACAAGAATGCCCTTAATTTCCAACCATTAGACCCTAATATCCCAGTCGTTATAATGAGCAACAAAGCTAAACATGGCTAATAAGGGTTTTTTTGTTGGTGTTCTTGGTGCTCAATTGACTGTTAATCTTGATAATAATTGCGGTCATAAAATCGATACAAGTCTTGGTAAGTGTCATCATCCATCTTTAGTTCTATATTCATCGTCGCGTACTCTGGTCATATCCATCTCTTTAAATTCATTTCCTGTGTTACTGCCGACGAACCCAGAAATGGCGCCGACGAGGACAGAGGACCGTGGCACAAGGATTTACCAATAAGCACGCGAACCTGATGAAATGACTGTCCGGTAAGCACAGTGGAGAGGACGGCATGAATAAGCCACCAAAAATGGACCGACGACCACAGTGACAGCGAGAATGTCAGCGAGCTCATGAAGATGCCCAATAAGGCAGTAAAAAGGGTTTACGGCGAGCTCGAAACGGCGGGGATGCAAGGATTCAACGATGAGCACACGTGACTTGAAATGAACCTCACCGGCGATGAATAAAAAGGTTGACGGCATTGTAACTGAACTTACTGGCCAATCAAATTCCGGCGAGACCCATTGAGCTTTGGCAACCATCAACTTCGGCAAGCCAACTTCAAACCCAGCAGCTTCGATATTCTTCTTCATTGCTGGTGCTATTCATTTTGAGACCCGTTGACAACACCAAGGTCACACCGACGAATCCTTATCTCTTTGTTGTGTTATCGCAATCTTATTGGTTGGTTTAATATTGTTTGCCACGTCAATAACTTAAATTGAGATTATAAGAAACTGCGCTGTTTTATTAGAAGGGTGGCATTTTTGTCTTTTTTCTTTTCCGGTGGCCTAAGTTGGCAAACGTATAGTCCGGGGGGTTAGTTGCAAAACCCCCCATAGTTTACGGTTTTTTTTTTTTTTTTTTTTGTAGTTTACCCTATTTTATATTGGAAGAGAGTTTCTTGTACTTCTACCCTTGTTAATTAAAGGGACGAGATAAAAATGTTAACACTTGCAGTCTCATTTATCGGAAATTGGGAGTTCCATTCTCTTTCCTTATTTTTATTTTATTTATTTATTTATTTATTTTATTTTTTTTGCTCTTTGCATTTGTCATGGTTCTTTAATTTGATTACTCCAAATAAATTCAGTTCTTCTTTTTCAAAAACAAATAAAAAATTATTCTTGTTCCAATATAATTCTTGTGTAAGTACGAATCCATTTATAGATATGCTCTTAATAGTATAGTTTAAAATTTGCATAGAAGATAATTACAATTATTTATTTTTACTTTTAAAGTAAAATTTTGATTTTATGTTACTGCTTGTCCCCAAATGACGGCCTCAGCACAACTGTATTTTAGCGGGAATAACCAACTCATTTGGCCTGGGTTTCGGTGTCAGTGTGTCACTAGTGAAATGAAAATTCTTTTCTCAGTCTCTGGTCTTCCATGATTAATTGATTATGAAAGCAAATACAATCATAAACCGTTTATTAAAGCCTAGTATATATTTCCTGCTAAATACATGCAAAAACATGATAGAGCTCAAACAAATCCACGCTCAGATGATCAAAGAAATCAACTTCTCTCTTCATGAGACCCCAACTCAAGTTTTGAAGTTGGTTTCTTTCTGTGCAGTTTCACCACATGGAAGCTTAGCCTATGCTAAAGCAATCTTTAGTCAGCAACCAAACCCATCTGTTCCACTCTATAACTGTCTCATTAGAGGACTCTCCTCAAGTAAACAGCCTCTTGAAGCACCATTGTTGTACCTGGAAATGCTCAGAAATGGATTGCAACCCAATAATTTTACTTTTCCTTTTGTGATTAAAGCCTGCATCAAATCTTCTATGACCCATTTCGCGATTCTAATTCATACCCATGTTGTTAAATATGGATTTGAATATGATTGTTACATTCAGAGTTCATTGATTCGTTTGTATGCTGATGGGAAAGATTTGGATTCTGCAAGACAGCTGTTTGATATGTGTTCTGAAAGAGACATTGTGTCTTGGAATTCAATGCTTGGTGGGTTTGTGAAGTGCGGTGACATAGAGAGAGCACGAGCGGTGTTTGACCGGATGGTAAACAGAGATGTGATTTCTTGGAACACCATCATCAATGGTTATGGAATTCTCGGGAGAATAGAAGAAGCAGAGAGTTTTTTCAATGAAATGCCTGAGAAGAATGTAGTCTCTTGGAATTCAATGTTGGCGGGTTATGTTAAATGTGGAAATGTAGAGCTTGCCCTTAAATTGTTCCGTGAGATGCCTTGTAGAGATGTTGTGTCATGGAATGCCATGTTAGCATGTTATGCACAGAGTGGGAAATCAAATGAAGCTCTTGCGTTATTTGATGAGATGCAGACGACGAACATAGTGCCAACTGAGGCCACTTTTGTCAGCCTTTTATCAGCCTGTGGTCATTTGGGTGCTCTGGACCAAGCGTTGAGTTTGCATTCCTACATCATTGATTATAAAATCGAGATAAATTTCATTGTTGGCACTGCGTTGGTGGACATGTATGCCAAATGTGGTAGCATATCTCGTGCCTCTGAAGTTTTTTATTCTATGGATTCCAAAGACGTTCTTACTTGGAACACCATCATAACTGGCATGGCTATGCATGGTTGTGCGAGCAGTGCTCAAAGGCTTTTTAGGGAGATGCAAGAGGATGGTGTGGCACCTAATGATATAACTCTTGTAGCTATGCTCACTGCTTATCGTCATTCAGGGATGACAGAAGAAGGCCAGAGATTACTGGCTTGCATGAGTTGCACTTATGGGATTGACCCCAAGGTTGAGCATTATGGTTGTGTTATTGATCTGCTTGCTCGGGCTGGGCGATTGGAAGAGGCCTTGGATCTGATAGGGACTATGCCTATGGAGCCCAATGCAAGTGTTTGGGCAGCATTGCTCGGAGGTTGCAGGATTTATGCGAATGCTGAGGTGGGTGAAAGAGTGGGTAAACGCCTTATCAATCTTCAACCGCAGCATAGTGGCCGGTATGAACTCTTCTTTTATGCCTAGTGAACTTTTGTTTTTTTTTGTTACACTTGGAAGTACAAGATACCTGAATTATATTAGAGGCTAATTACATAGACCTTGACTAAGATATATGAAATAAGATTACTGACCTGACTCTAGATGTTAAATGTAAAAATCAAGTGTAAAAGAGCTAAATGTAAAAAATCCGGGGGGGGGGGGGGGGGGGGGGGGGGCCGGTTGGGGGAATACTTCATAGTCATTTCAATTTTATCAGGGTTGGTCTATGTAAAATCCCTTGTATTATATTATTGTATAAAAAAGAAGAAAAATGATATCGTGATACATTGGCATAAAAGCAAGCTGGCCTGCTAATGCTCGAACTTTAACCTCACTAAGCTCACTCTTTTTGTTGTGTCTGCAATTGAATTATAATGAAGCAAGGAAGGATTTAAGGACTAAACTTTGTCAATCACTCAATCAGCATGTGTTAACTAAAAGTAACTTCTCACTAGATTATTATGCGTCTTGACACCCTTTTCGTTTTTCCCTTTCTTCTTGTCCACAGCTACATCCTTCTCTCAAATATATATGCTGCTGCAAAACGATGGGATGATGCAAGAAAAGTGAGAAACCTTATGAAAACCAAAGGGGTGGCTAAGGTGCCAGGGGTAAGTGTGATTGAGTTGAAGGGGATTGTGTACCGGTTTGTGGCTGGCGATTGGTCACATCCCGAGTCAAGCTATATATATGATAAGTTGCGTGAGCTATCAACACGGCTAAAGACTACCACCGAATATTTACCAGATACAGAGCAAACTCTGTGTGACATAGAAGAAGAAGAAAAGGAGTATGCTTTGTCTGTTCACAGTGAGAAGCTGGCCATTGCATATGGATTCCTACACTTGGGTACTGAGGAAGTCATCAGAATTGTCAAAAACCTAAGAGTGTGCAGAGATTGTCACCATTTCATAAAGTTGGTTTCAAGAATTTATGGTCGAGAAATCGTTGTCAGGGATAGGAACAGGTTTCATCATTTCAAAGATGGGGAATGTTCTTGCCTAGATTTTTGGTAGATGTATTGAGATTTATAGTTGTATCAGAACATTGTTATGGGTTAATTGCAACCAAAAAAAAACCTTGTATCATACATGTTTTTGCAAGTTGCCCCCTACATTGCAATTTATCCTTCAAATATTGAAAATGTTACAATTTGTTTTCTCCATAGGGGGGTATCCTGTAGCATTTTCAATAGTTAAAGGGATAAATTGCAATGCATGGTGCAACTTGCAAAAACTTGTACAGTACTGGGTTTTTTTGCAAAGAACCCTATTGTTATATATGTGGTTTTGGATAAGAGCATGTTGGTGCTCGAGTTAGAATGACCCCATGGTGATTTTTTGGACTGTCATATTTGGCCACATCAGATAAAAATTGACTTTAGTTGAAAAAAATGGTTATTTGACCTAGCCAAAATATGCATGCCTCTTAGAGGTGGAACTAGCACATCTAATTTTTAAAACTTGATTGGAGCTGTGTTTTAGAATAAAGTGAATATATTTTCAGGTTAATAAATATACATGTAGCAAAATTAGAATTGTGTCACAGTGGGTTTGCTTATGGAATCCAGCCAAACAAATTAAATATGCGACAAGATTTTTCAACTCAAACTCAATTTTAATTATAAAAATAATTATTTAAATTCGTAAAAAAAAAATTTACGGAATTTGGATTAAGGGTTAGTTTGGTAGGTGGGAATAGCATGAAATAAAGCGGAATGAAATGTTTTTAATTCTATTCTTTTATTTGAAAAGTAATTTTAAAGATGGAATACCCATTCTTCACCTTTCTAAGGAATGGGCATTCCATTCCCACTTAAAAAAATACGGAATAAAAATAATACTATATTACTTGAAAAAAATGCAGAATAAAAATAATACTAGCATACTTAAAAAAATACGGAGTAAAAATAATACTACTAAAAATCTTAAACGATATAATTGTTAACTCACTTTTCTCAAACAACTCAAACCCTATCACTTTTGCATCAGAAATCGACATTGAAAGCGATCAACTATTGAAGACAGTTAACAACGAATCCGAAATCAGCGCAAAATTAGCCATTGAAGTCGATCGACAACCAATCCGAAATCAGCCGGAAATCAATCATTAAAGTAGATCGATGACCGATCTGACATCAGCCGGCGATTTGATCCATTGAATTGCATCCATTGAAGTTGATCGACTACCAATAAGCCGGCGATTTGCATCCATAGATAGTGATCTAAAAGCAAGTTGAGATTATATTCTTGACTAAAAAATGAGTAAATTTCCATGTCAATGAGAGAGATCTCTCCTCAGTTTCCAAATATACATCGAAAAAATATATTTACACATATATTTATATATTTATTTGGTTTACATATATATATATTAGTTTTTCTTTTTAAGACATATAATGCTACGTTTGGTGTGCAAGAATGGAATGGAATGGAATGCCCATTCCAACAATTTGTTTGTTTGGTATGTAGGAATGCAATGGAATGAAAATCCATTTCATTACTAAACCTATGGAATGGAATGGCCATTCCATAGCAAGATTAAATATTTTTGTAATATTCCCAATCAGCCCTTCATCACATTCCAATAAGGCAAAAATATTTTGCATAGACCAAAAATCTTTCGCATTCCATTTTTCACGTTTCTCGAACTTCTTTATTAGACATGATAAAAGTTTTTCACCTTCCCTCTCTTCTGAATATACCCAAAACTGTCATTGACAAAAAGTTACAGGACCTTCAACCATATTATATATATATATATATATATATATATATATTTATATCATTAAATATATATATACATATATATATATATATATATATATATATATTTTAGCATTTACATCAACTTCTTATTAAGTATTCAACCCGTTTTTAGATAAAATTGTACTGACAAAATATTAATTAGATTGATTTTATTAAAAAATAATGAAAAGGGTATTTTTGAGAAAAATCATTCCATTTCATATTTAATGATAGTCAACCAAACAATAAAATGGTAATAATCATTCCATTTCATAACGATTCACCGTGTCACACCAATTATTAGAATTGTAATATTCATTCAATTCAATTTCATTCTCATTCTCATTCCATTCCAAATTACATTCAATTCCTATACATCAAACATAGCTGTATAACCAAACGAAAGAATGAGAATAGTCATTCCATTCCATTCTCTAATTCATTTTATTCTTACGGTATTTCATTCCTCATGCCAACCTAAAGTCCTTAAGAATTGTAATCCTACCATATTCTTCCTGATTTAGAAACCGTACCCCATGCGAGGAGTAGTATGGACATCCCTGCAGCCAAACAACCGGGCAATTTTCCCTCCACTTAGAAATCCAAACTTCCCCTTTATTAAACGAACCTACAGAGTTACTTGAAAAAATCAACTCAATTTGTTGTGGAATTTGATCCTTGTAAATGTTGAGTACTCTATGTACTGTGCTCGACAAATGCAAATCAATGGCAGAGCTTAAGCAAGTACATGCTCTGTTGATCGCTTTGAACCTTTCGCAAGACGAAGCATTTGCATCAAGACTTCTCTCTTTCGCTGCCATCTCGGATTCAGCCTTCGTTGATTACTCTTATCGAATCTTTCTGCAACTCTCTGCTCCAACAATCTTCCACTGGAACACAATCATAAGGGGTTATTCAAAAAGCAAGAACCCAAACAAATCAATCTCTGTTTTTGTTGAAATGTTACGAATTGGAGTCACACCAGACCATCTAACGTACCCTTTTCTTGTCAAAGCCTCTGCGCACTTGTCGAAGCTTCGATTGGGGACGGCAGTGCATGGCCGTGTTTTGAAAACTGGGTATGAGTCTGATCGGTTTGTTCAGAATTCTTTGATTCATATGTATGCTAGTTGTGCTGATATAGTGTATGCACGTAAACTGTTTGATGACATGCCAAAGAGGAACTCGGTTTCTTGGAATTCTATGCTGGATGGGTATGCTAAATGTGGGGACCTAAATTCGGCACGGGAAGTGTTTGAACTGATGCCAGAGCGGGATGTTGTGTCGTGGAGTTCTATGATTGACGGGTATGTCAAGGACGGGAACTATGGCGAGGCATTGGCAGTTTTTGAGAGAATGCGGGTTGCAGGGCCTGATGCCAACGAGGTGACAATGGTTAGTGTTTTGTGTGCTTGTGCTCATTTAGGTGCGCTTGAGCAAGGGAGGACTATGCATCGCTACATGGTTGACAATGGGTTGCCTCTAACTTTAGTGTTGCGAACGTCTCTTGTGGACATGTATGCCAAATGTGGGGCGATACAGGAAGCGTTAGCTGTCTTTCGCGGTGTTTCAATGAATCGAACCGATGTGTTAATTTGGAATGCTATGATTGGAGGACTTGCAACGCATGGTCTTGTTATGGAGTCACTCGATATGTTTACAAAAATGCAGACTGTAGGGATCTTCCCAGATGAGATCACATACCTGTGCTTGTTGAGTGCTTGTGCACATGGAGGTTTAGTGAAGGAAGCTTGGTACTTTTTTGAGTCTCTTGGTAAAGATGGCAAGACACCGAAGAGTGAGCATTATGCTTGCATGGTGGATGTTCTAGCGCGTGCAGGTCAAGTAACAGAGGCATACCACTTCTTGTGTCAAATGCCGGTGGAACCAACACCTTCCATGTTAGGTGCATTACTTAGTGGCTGTATGAACCATAAAAAATTAGGTCTTGCAGAAATAGTGGGAAAGAAGCTTCTTGAGTTGGAGCCGTATCACGATGGTAGATATGTTGGTTTATCAAATGTTTATGCAGTAGTCAAGCGCTTCGATGAAGCAAGAACGATGAGGGAAGCTATGGCGAGAAGAGGGGTGAAGAAGTCTCCTGGGTATAGTTTTGTGGAGATATTTGGAACCCTTCACAGATTCATAGCTCATGATAAAACTCATCCCAATTCAGGACAAATCTATATGATGCTAAACAATATTGTAAAACAAATGAAATTTGATGCGGATATTGAAACACAAGAGCATTGTCTGTGTGATATTGAAGAGGGGTGAGGTTTATATGCTTCTACTATACGACATTGGTTGTGTGTCAAATGTCTGTAATTTATGATTTTCAATATCAGTCAGAAATATGGTAAAAGGGATCTTCTACCGTCTACAATATAGTTCACAAATATATAATGTTTTCTATTTTATTTTGCGGTACGTTTATAATGATTCTTCTGAGTATTTAATATTTATTCTTTTCAAGACTAGAAACTATTTATTTATTTTATTTTATTTTTTTTTTTGGTTGGGTAGAGCTCAACTGGGAACGGAAGTGAAGAAAGTGGCTCAATGAGCTTCCACCTTCTCTCTCTCTATGTATATGAGGACGTGTGAGGAGGAAGCGTTAACCTATATATAAGATGCTCACCATAACCTATATACAGAGATGTATATATACGGAGATGTCTATTTATAATATCACTGCTTCATCACCAAAACCTATATACAAAGTATTAGTTAGGTTTCCACAATTGCAATACAAACTCGCAATTAGGGTTTTTCGTTATCGTCCACTATTCGTTCTTGAGGGCTAAGGTTAGATTCAGAGAATGGTATTTAGAATTCGATCCAGATGATGGTATTGTGGAGTTCATTCCAGATGATTATTTTGTGAGGTTCGATTCAGATCATCTGGATCTTGAGGATTCGATCAATAATTCATCACTCGAAAGATCAATATTATGTTGAACACACTTTAGGAGTTATGTGGTAGGAATGGAACACATGCTGAGAGGGTGCATGTTGCATGCATTGATCTATTTTCTGCTAGTACGGAATTGCATGAAGTGTTTGTGAAAAGTCCCGAGTTTGAACCCGCCAAACTAGTTTACTACTCCATCTTAGTATCATTGTTTATTTTTTTTTTTGAGAACCATTCCAACTTTGGACAAAAGGGTTACAATATAAATTCTTAATATCCGCCAAGATACATGCTTCAAGAAGTTTCATTGTTCATTTTATTTTGAGAATTACATTTTCCAATATGTTTGGAATGAAAATTACACTTTTCAATATGTTTCAAAAGGCTTTTTCATGATACAAAAAAGAAAATAGGCAGCAAATTAATGCCTCATTCAGTAACCATAGATGATCTAGATGCCGTGTGTTCTTTATTTGTACTCTATGCCAAGTATCTAGAAGCAAAAAAACCTTTTGGCAAAGCCGATAACAACAAACAAAACATTTTCCCAACTACTTGTCTGCTAAATGGTCATTTAGCAAAGACAATCACTAAAATCGTCATTTGATTATTTAAATGATATATCCACGTCACCACATGTCACCACATGATTATAAAACGAACATTACAAATAAATCACTGTCTCTGAAACCTTTCCAAGGTTAAATCATGGACTATGCAACCAAAGCAATTTTCTCATTGCAGCTCTCTGTTATTATATGCTAAAAATGGGTTTTCCAATTTAAGGTCCACCGCGCATTGGGTAATTTCTCATGTCTGCACAAAAAAGAACAAAATGATTCTGTATGAAACTCATACAAGACCCCTCTGTTTGAAGACATCAAGCATTGCAGCTCCAATCTTTGCCGGAGATTCGACAACTGTGACCCCAGCTTCCCTGAGGGTCTTAATTTTGTCTTGCGCCGTGCCCTTTCCCCCTGATACTATAGCTGCATACACAAACAGGAATTACAGAGTTCAGCAATGATTTAACTAAGGAACACAGTTCCAACTTAAAATTTTAAGAAATTTTTTGTATGATCAACATAAAATGACAGTTCTTTCTTTTTTTTTTCCTTTTTCTATGAAACGTTTTTTATATTTTCTGTTAGCTTGACAGCAAGTAGCATAGCAACTGCAAGATAATTAAGATTCATGATGGCGATATTATACCTCCAGCATGACCCATGCGCCGACCCGGTGGAGCAGTTAGTCCAGCAATAAATGCAACAATAGGCTTTTCAGTTCCGCTTTCCTGTTTCATTTTACACTTCATTAGATGCTCAATTCTCACAAATAGAAACCAAAGAGACTCCAACAGAAAACCTACTTCTCACAACTCAAATACACTAGAACCAACTAAGCGCTTTCCCCGTAAGTCCATCCCCTCTATGTGAGACCAATGCATCGTCCTACAACTTCGGACTTTGTGACTAAAACTATAAATTAAAATCTCAGCATTACTCACCTTTATGAGGGCGGCTGCATCTTCTTCTGCTGTACCACCAATCTCACCGATAAGAACAATACCTGAAATGCAATTGGCATTCATGATTAGATCAAGAGCACTTTGGCTTCCTATTCTCAATATATACAATCACTTTTATCTTGTCAAAACCTTTTATTCAGTTAATCAGGTGAGGGAAGGCAGAAAAAGTGAAAACCAAAAGAAAAAAGAAAGGGAAATGAACGTTTATAAAAGAACATAAAAAGTGAAAGGGAGAAAACAAGAGCCAGGAGGAACTGCAAAAAGAGCCAACCTAAAACTTTTACTAGAAAGGAAAAGAAAAAGAACTATACCAAATGGTAGACAAATTATAACATGTTACTCCTTTATTTATTTGTTTAGCACCCACAAATAAGCAGAAACACATTTAAAAATCAAAATTTATAGCTAATGAGGATTCTGTAACAAGCAAATATTAGCCAGTTATTTCCATTTCTGACTTGCAAGATAGCAACAATGTTTAAGCCCATGATTTCTTACCCATCCAGGGTTTACATGTAAATGGACATTAGCTTTATTCTACATTTTCTGCACTTCTTTTTTAATTGTAAATTTTCTTTTTGGGATTACTGATGGCAGTTATTTTCTATTTGATATTACTGAAAGCAAGATAGCAAACAATCGAAGTCAAGTTAAAACCTCCAGATATTTTTAGACGTCTTGAGAAATGCAGACAATTGAATGTTTATATAGGTCAACAAGAATATATCAAGTTACAAGGGTTATTCATCAATTACACCAAAGTTGTGCTAAATGCAGCCAGAAAAGCTGACATTACGAATCAATTAACCTTTTAGTCCTAGCCATTTTGACCCAAAAAGTAGAAGAAGATGAAGAAAAAGAGAAGGAAGAGATGGGGAAAGAGAGAGAGAATGAAAGAATAATTTCATCCTTCCACCACATTCTATTTATACCAAGAAATTTCAAAAATTACACATATGCATCCTACATTATATAAGTAAATAACAAATAAGCCCTGACAACAATTTCATGAAAAGAAATCAGATATCTTAAATTAAGATATCCTAAAATTATAGAGATTATTAGCTAAAACTAATTATTAATATCAATTCAACATAAGCAATGCCAAATCAACTAGATTATTTTGACCTCCCAATTGATCAGATCAAGTTGGCCCATTATTCACATCAAACCAATCTATAGTCAGTTACTAAGTTGTAATATAACAGGGATAGAAGTATAATCTCTACTTTTGTAACCACTAACCATCCTCCGACAAAATTGATACTAGCATCCCGCAAAGTTGCCATCACAATCAACAAAGAGTGGAATTTGTATTCAAGCAATTAAGAGTAACTAAAGAAAACTATGCATTGAATTTAATTAATGTGCTGTGGCACAGATGACCTCCAGGAATTCGTATTTAATTAAAAACTGCCGAACATGCTCCTTAAACATCGAGACACGTGTTAGGCACACTTTATATTGTCATCATTTAAAATTAACTTTTATTTAAAAACACATGGCCAACACAAGGGCAGGACCACTATTTTAAGAATGAGGAGTGATAACATGAGAAACTGACTTAAAAGGCAAAAGCATGGAAGTGTGGAAGTTTCTTGTAGGGGAGGGGATCAGCATCATATAGAATCCATTTCATGTGGCCATGTTCATGCATCCCTCTCCACCCAAACACTAGGACCACCAGGGCGGTTGGTCTAAGTAAAAGGTAGACCCAGGCTAAAACTGAAGTATAAAAACCTTTGCTTGAAACACCCCAGGTTGACCTCTAAACACAAGCAGTATAGATGAGTTCAGGAAATTGTATTAGATTGGGTTAGAAAATGCCAAACAACACCAACTTGCTACTTTGACTTGTTATTCTGCATTGATGAAACAATCAAGAATCCTATTTACATACACACCATTTCTAATTGATTGCAGATTAAAGTTCCTAGGACCTTGATAAAACAACCAAGGAGTTCCATACAGAAGATTTTTAAAAGATTTTAAAACAGTACTTTGAGCTTCTAGAGTATCAATAGATCTGATAATTTGAGGCAAAGTCAAAGCACCTACATGAAGTCAATAGATGTAAGATATTGTACAACAAAAGGCTGATATTCATGAAGGAGTCGAAAAGATCAAGTTGAAAAGGAAGAACGACAACAACAAAAACAGCAAATCTGGTCTTGATTCCAATCCTAATCCACAGCCCACTTTTAGGCATTCCCAAACTCAAAGCAAATGTTAACACCAAGGATAATAGCCCAGTGGTATCTTCTATACCTCCCAAAGTGGAACATCAGGGGTCAAGTCCATATAGGGGCAAAGTGGATGTGTATTATTTACTGGGGAAAAAAAATAATAAAAAATAAAAAACACCTAAACAGATGTTTTTCAAGTAATGAAGGAGGAGAAATAAAAACAAATACAAATTTCATTAAAGTTTCTATGAGAATTTGCCAAGCGTCAAGCATAGTGGCATGGGCTTTCGATCTCAAGTCTTCATTCTTTTAGTAAGACCAGGAATCAATATCAATAATTTGCTCTCAAAAGGATCAGGAACAAAAGAGGACTAGGACTGGAATTTTTAAATGCATTAGTGACCCCATAATATCAGACTGCTATCAAAAGAGCTATTTACCCTTAACTTAAATTATGTGAGCAAAAAATCCTGGTCTCTGTTATGTCCCCTTAAAACAAACTATATTCTAATATTTTTTATGCTCCAATGATGCCCCGAGGGAGGGGAGTTGAACATGGGTGTTGAACTTCATAGCGACATCCTTCAACCCACTGCTCTACCCCTCTGGGTTAAACTAAAAATAACACACATTGAAATAATATCATCCTTTTCCATTAAGAACATAATCCCTCTGCCTCTTTCTATGAAGCACATGCTACACTAAGAAATCTGTGGAACAAGATCAACAGTTGATTTATTATTTTTTTTCATTTTCCTAAAGAGTTTACCTTCCGTCTGAGGGTCAGCAAGAAACTTCTTCATGCAATCAACAAAATTTGTCCCGTTGAAAGGATCCCCACCAATACCAACACAGGTTGATTGCCCTAGGCCAACTGCAGTCGTTTGGAAAACCTGGTAGGTACATAGCAGACAAAGTCATCCACAAAATTTCTATAAAATATAATAGAACTAGAAGTCAGAGAAGCCAGAACAGACTACCAAAGTCGGAGGTATTGGCATAATATAGAAAACGCATATATCACCACTTTGCCTCAACTAGTCCCCTACCACCAACATTTAGGCTTTGAGGCTAATCATACTAAATTGAACATGATGAAACTGAAACTTGGATGAAGCATATCAGGACAATGTCAGTGGTATTTACCAAAACTAAGAATGGCATCCAAAAAGTAATTTTGCATCCCCAAGCAGCTTTAATTATTATTTATGAATTATAGATTGAAAGCATTATCTCTTTAGATGTCCCACTGTTGGCTATTTGTTAATAGTTGCATATCGTCACTTCATTTGATTGAGAGAGTTATTAGCAATCCACATTTTTTAGGCTGACTGCTTAAAATCATGAAAATGATTGGTCATAAGAAACATCATTGTTGCCTATATGCTTAATTTTAGGTATGATTAAATTGACATGGTGCACCCAGACAGCACTCATGTGATGGTTCAATTGTTAAAGGAAATAAAAAACAGCATAGCAGTAAAAGAGTATCACAATTGACTCCAAAACAAAACACGTATAATCTTCACCGACATCATATACATTTAAATGCCAAGGCGAACATAATTTGAATTTCTACAAAAGCATTTTTTAAGCCAATAAATACAGTTTAGAGCTACATTATATAGACACAGAACAGGTTCCAGACCCCAAATCCAAGGACAGAGGCATGCCTAAATATTCTTATTTTCAAATGATCTTTTATTTCTAGGGTAAAATAGTGTTTTTATGCAATATCACATGGACACTTTACTCATTCCGAAGCAAAATTTTTTATTTTTGATAAGTAAAAATGTATAAAGCGCTCAAAAGGGGAGCGAAGCCCAAGAGAACTACACAATGCCAAAATAAGTATCCCCTTTGGGGACTCGTCTTTCTAAAGTGCCATGCATATTATGCGCATCTCGCTTTGAATTTACAAAACTAGGCCTCCAAGATTTTGAAGATATACATTGTTAATTTAGATCAGTTTTCAACCATTAAGTAAAATTTAGAAAATATTTTTTTTTTTAAATAAAAAAAATAGACTTCTCAAAATGAACATTTATTTTGCGATATGCCAAAAACGAAAGAGGAAAACTTGTTCTATGACGCAAGGACTAATAAAAAATAATAATAAGAGTTTTATGTACTATAATAAACTTGAATCATTCAATATACTAGCTAGGCACAAGTGGACATGCCGGGCACATATCTTTATACCATGCCCAACCCCAAATCTTGTCCTACATGGATACTTCATTCATTTAGAACAAACACATCAATGTGCAACATTACCATATTCTCTTGGACCAAAATAGAAAATGAAAAAAGTAGGCATTATATACCAATGCTATATAGGACAAAAAGAACGTTGGCAAGATCATCAGGAGGAAGAAAAATTTGTAGCCACATATATACACTTCTAGAAACTCCTAATTCTAATGGATTTTGACTTTATATATAGAAAGTCAAAGACATTGACTACCAGATCTCATATATACCCACTACAACCATGCGTAAATACTCAAGTTAATCATTTGACCCAAAAATATAAACCATGGAAACTACTACAACCCATGTCCAGCGAATCTTGAAATTAAACAAAATACTTGATATATTCTAAATCAATAAAACCTGCATCAAATTAAACTAAAGAAAGTATAACATAAGAAAACACAACCTAGAACTTCACTATAAGAGGTCCCAAGTGGCCCCAACTTGAAATCCTACTAATTTAAAACTCTCTTTCTTAAACTCCTTATGGCAACGCCAAGTGCCACCTCTGAAGGCCCTTCTAGAAACTCCTAATTCTAATGGATTTTGACTTTATACATAGAAAGTCAAAGACATTGACTACCAGATCTCATACATACCCACTACAACCATGCGTAAATACTCAAGTTAATCATTTGACCCAAAAATATAAACCATGGAAACTACTACAACCCATGTCCAGCGAATCTTGAAATTAAACAAAACACTTGATATATTCTAAATCAATAAAACCTGCATCAAATTAAACTAAAGAATGTATAACATAAGACAACACAACCTAGAACTTCACTATAAGAGGTCCCAAGTGGCCCCAACTTGAAATCCTACTAATTTAAAACTCTCTTTCTTAAACTCCTTATGGCAACGCCAAGTGCCACCTCTGAAGGCCCTTTTATAAGAGTAAAGAGGTTTATGTCGCGGTAAGTGTCAGCTAAACATATCCAAAGCCATAAGATGCCAAAAGGAAAAATGACTATTCAAAAGTCTAGTAAGTTCTTTAGTGGTAGTTAAATTAGAGGGACATAAAGTGTGAGGAAAGGGTTTAACCATTGATTAGACGGACCAGCAACATGGATTACACAAATGCGTGATTTATATAGCATCATTACAACTTAACAAACAAACACCACAAGATACTTGGGAAAAAAGGATCTCACAGCTTCATAAGTCAATGTGCCAGAACGAGAAACAATTCCTATGCGCCCAGGTTTATGAATGTATCCAGGCATAATTCCAATTTTGCATTCTCCAGGCTTGATAATACCAGGGCAGTTTGGACCAATCACCCGAGTTTTTGATTGGTTGTTAAGAGCAGCCTTCACCCGAACCTGTAGTTTGCATTTATCAAATCCAATGTCAGAAAGAAACTTAAGGCTCAATTTCAGTTACAAAAGATACCAAAAGGACAAAGCAATTATTAGAGCTATAGGCTATTTTCTAAAAGTAAACCACAAGTATAAAAGATATAACTAAATTAAAATTTCTAAAATGATATAACAAGAAGGTCTCATCAAAGAGGTGAATGAGCAGCTAATCAAAATTCCAAGTTCACAAATTCCTCACCGCTGTGGGTTCGAATCCTGAGAGCAGCCACTCTGTGCAACTAATGCCAAATGTTAAAATTGTATCAAAATGTGCCCTTCCCAGAACCCTCGAGGCCTCAAATTGGATTTAGACGGCACAAAGAAGGTCAACAGAAGATGGCTAAATGATAATGACTACCGCTAAAAAGACCAAACTCGCCTAAGACCACCTGGATCCTCATAGAGAAATTTTTCAACAACTTCAGAAAGATTCCGCACCAACTTAATAAAATCTAAAGAATGTAGAGCTGATAGAACCTTGAACTTTCATGATTTCAACATTTAACATCTCCTGGCAGAAAAACCTAAATCATGGACTTAAGCTATAACAACTGCTGAAATAGAACTCTTAATAAACTAAAAGGTGGATAAATCTAATAGCCAACTTATTGTAAAATGTGTAACATTTTACAACTTCAGAAAGATTCCACAACAACAACTTCAGAAAGATTCCACACCAACTTAATAAAATCTAACGAATGTAGAGCTGATAGAACCTTGAACCTTCATGATTTCAACATTTAACATCTCCTGGCAGAAAAACCTAAATCATGGACTTAAGCTACAACAACTGCTGAAATAGAACTCTTAATAAACTAAAAGGTGGATAAATCTAATAGCCAACTTATTGTAAAATGTGTAACATTTTTTATCGCTACGCATGTCCTGTAATTTTCACAATAACAATTTTTTTAAAATCCAATGTTATATAGCCTGCCTTGCCATAAAAAATACTTTTCAGAAACACAAATTTAAACAAAGAAAAAGAACAATAGAAACTAGCAAAAACGCTATTTGTTTCATTATTCACTGCAGAACTCTAGTGATTCCTTTTCTAAAATCATAAATAAATAAATATATATATATATATATATATATATATATATATATATATTATAAACTAGTTAAACCTGATGATTGGAATCGGCTCAAAAACTATCACAGTCAATTGGTGGGAGGGGAATACCAGTGAAAAGAAAATTAAATTACCATATCATGCTGAGGAATTCCTTCAGTAATGCAGACAACCAAATCTAGCTCAGCCTCCATTGCTTCCATAATAGCTGCTGCAGCAAAAGGTGGAGGAACATAAATCACTGATGCATTGGCCTTTGTTTCAGCTTTTGCTTCTGCAACTGAGTTAAAAACTGGAAGTCCCAAGTGTTCAGTTCCACCCTTCTTTGGTGTGACCCCACCAACCTATTTAAACAAATAAGAAGAATGTATATAAATAAAGCTCCTTGTGCTGATTTAAACAAACCTTCCAATACTTCAGTAAGTATGCAAATATATCTACCAGTCGTATATGTATAACAAGTGGGGCAAGAAGGACCAAGAAGTAGGGAATGCCTTAAAAGTCATTAGTAGAAGGAAATGAAGGGATCGGATCAGAATCGCACAAACATTAAAACCTAGCAGATCTTTCCATATGCTGAAAATTTTAATCATGCATGAGGTAACAATTCTTCACATTGGTGGAGGGAATCATTCTGGTAGTTTGGTTGGCAATCACGTGCAACAATTACCCTTTGGATTTTGCCACACTCCATCCCATTTAAAAACAAATTTTCAAACATTAATAGGTGATATTATTCATGCTATGCCTATTACAAGTCTACCTGCAAACTGTAATTTGAGAAGAGATTGTCAACGGTTTAATGGTACACTTTAGCCACACTAATTGTGATAACATCCACAGTTACCCTTTAAATATACTAATAACAAAATACCACAATTCCCTCAAAAGACTTGAATATCCACCCAAATTTGTGACAAGGACAACAAAAATGATGGAATTTCTAGGATCATCTCCAAACATCATCAAGAGGTCAGAATGCATAAACCCCGTGTTGAGAACAGTGATATCGCAGAATAACAGCTATTGGAGGAAATTTGACTACAGGTGAAGTTGCGGATAAGATATTACATTTTTCCCCTCATTTTGGTACTACTAATATTGAGGATGAGCTTGCAAATAAGGGTAGGGACAGCATCTTGATCATAATTTGATCCCAAGAAATGATACAAATAATTATGGAACTAAGGAGTTAATAATCACCAGAATACATGTTTCACTAATTCCTTATAGAAAATCAAGCAAGAGAGGAAGAAGAGAGCTTAATCGACTTGCTATAAGCAACAACGGAATTCTAGGTTTTCTCAAACTAGACAATTACGTATAAAACCCAATTTTAGCTAGGTTCAGATGCTGATCTGACAAACAAAATTGATAACACAGATTCAAAGGTAAGAACTACAAAATGTACTATTGCAATACAAATTGAAATTAGAGCTACATAACAGATCCATTTAGCAGATTAAATTCTGAAGCAACACTGTATTGCATATACACATATATAGTTTTTGTGTGTGTAGTAAACGTTACCATCTTAGTCCCGTATTCAATAGCTTGTTCGGTGTGGAAGGTGCCATTCTTGCCGGTGATCCCTTGGCATATGACCCGAGTGTTCTTGTCGACGAAAACGGCAGGAGAAGCCGCCCCGAAAAGACGAGATTGCGACAGAGAATGAGAAGGGGACGAGAAGACAGAGTGATTCGAGTTAGGGCAAAGTTTTGAAGACAAGTTGGAGAAGATCAGCCTCGTCGCTTGTCGAGCCATCTCTGTGCTCTCTTTCTCTCTCTTTCAGGTTATATATATTTCTATATATCTATATAAATATATATAGCAGCGTTACATAGATGAAAAAGACCGTAATAGAAATGCACAAATAAGAATACGAGAAGAGAATAAGGGGAGAAGAGACACTAGAACAAAGGGAAGGGAAGAGGGGCTGCTAGCGATGCTTGGGTCAAACCGAAAGAAACCTTATTACTTTTCAATATCACACACACATATTGCTTCTTTAGCATCAAAGTCATTGTTGTATCACTCGTCGTTTCAAGGCTATTCAACGGTTATAACTTTAGTTCTCTGATAACAAGCGTATCAAGAGAATTGTGGCTATACAAAGGGCCGTTGATCCAATGATAAAAAGGAAAGGAGTTCGAGTCCCGTGAACAAACAATTATGTGTGTTTTTGCTTTACCCAAAAAAAAAAAAAAAAAAAAAAAAAAAAAAAAAGAAGAAGGAGGAATTTAGCACCTTATAATTAAGGGTCGTGTAGTTTAGTGATATCCTTCTATTTTTCAAAATAAAAGTTCTATAGTTTTCACATGAGTATATTTCTTTCCTTGAAAAAAATAAAAATAATTCAGTGAGGGATTCAAAGAATTGTATGAGAGTGAGTGGGGATATTTTTAAAATTTTCATAAAAGTGGAGGAACATTTATAAGATTTTCACACAATTTTATACGTAATTTTGCAAATAAAAAACTGATCCCTTAATGATGTGTGCCTACATATAATTAGTGCACTATAAGCCCTACTTAGCCCAAACATTATAAATTTACCACCAGTCCATGCATGTAATTTTTTATTTAAATAGTTTGGAAGCATTTTCTTTTTAGTCAAGGAGTCTAGCAACTTAGGAAGCACGGATATGAAAATGGAATACGGATACGACACTACATGAGTATGAAATATGACAAAATTGATACAAAGTATAATAGGATGTGACAATATAGAAATGATAAATTATATTTTTATATATACAAAAAAATAATTTTTTAGATGTACCTGAATTAAGGATTAAGAAGAGAAACAAAGATCAATCGTGTGTAACGTTGAATAGGATTGTGTGTGGCACATTGATTTCGATTTTTTCTTTGTTTTTTTTAAATGAGATAATCTACTCTATTGATTCATTGAAATCTGATAACAATATTTTATAAAATGTACTTTATATGTGGAAGGGCATGAGTTTTCCATATTTTTCTCACAACTTAATTAGGTTTTTTTTTTTTTTTTCTTTTTTTTTGCCAGAAAAGTTTTGACGCTAAAATGCCAAGAGCTATAGGAATAGGAAGCAAGAAGAAGAAGAAGAGAGAAAGGGGTAGGGTTTTGATCGGTTCTGCTGTTTGGCAGGAAAAAAATTTGGGATAGTTCTGGAATTGTTATAAAAAATGCTCTTAACGTTAACATTGTTAATTGGATTGTTTGTTGACTATCATAAAATACCTAGAAAATGATTGATCTCTAATGTTTTTTTTTTAAAATGGGACTGATGTCAAAACTTATACAAAATAATGGGACCTAAATCAAAAAAGCCCTATGATTAATAAACAAAATAAATGTTAAGATTGATATTGCATCATTTGCATTGATAAATTTTGTACTGAATCCCACATATATAACAATACTTCTTTTTAAAAATAAAAAAAAAAATTAAAACATTTCATAATAATTATGCTATGATATTATTGTTAGAAAATTTATACTTTAATATTCACAACTTATTAAAAATGTGTTATGAACTATTTGAGAAGTATCAAATAGATGGTCAAAGTAGTTGAGAAATATCGGATACGCATTAGAAAAGAAATTAATAAAATTATAGATATATTTAATAAGTATCATACTCGTATTGTCACTATACGAGTATATGTGCTTCCTAACAACCATCATAAGTGTGTATTTTTTTTTTTCATTCATTGGCAAAAAAATCATATACCCATTTATTCATACAAAGCCTCGAACCTTCACCATCTTCTTTAAGAGATAGAGAATATATCACTGAATTACAACACAAATGTAGCGTTAATATCATTATTAGTAACGGGTTGGTCCAAACAACCTCCCCTTCCCACCCACCAGTTTCTTTTCCAATCCAACTAAAAAACATATCAATATGTTTATTCTTATTATCCGACCTCTAATATGATGGTATTAATCTATATTTCTCAAGATTGTTCCACAATCCCATTAAAAACATGTTGCAAGTAGAAAGTGTATTTGCTTTAACTTCTGAATATTTATTTATTTATTTATTTGAGTGTTTTAATCCCTTAGGTTTAGTGCAGTTAATTGATAACTCATTTCAGCACTTAAGTTTGAATGGATTAAAGGCTTAAGTAATTAAGTGTATTTGATAAAACAATTTGAATATTATTGAAAATAATAAACGTCACTTAAAATGGGATAAAATTTTAAGTGATAAGGATATTGGTAGTGAAGTTTGTCTCAACTCAATTTTAATATTTATAAACCACTACTCTCCATTTAGAACATGGTAAGGTGCCAAACACAAGTACTCCGACTTCATTTAATCCAATCTCTGAAGCAATTAATTAAAAGATGGTTTGTTTTGTTCCTAATTAACAATTAGACTAATGCTAAGTACAATGCAAGTGAACGAAAGTAGTGATGAAAAAGAGAAGACAATGAGAGAAACTTAGGGCATGAAATGCACCTTTAGCCTTGTAATTGTATCATTGTCAACAATTATGGGAAAATCAAGCGTGTAACAATGAATTGTGGCTACAAGCACACAATTAAATTAAGTAAAAACTACAATTGACATCAATAAGTATACTCCATCAAAGCTAAAAAGCATGCATTGTCTACCTACCTACTTATCATCTAATATGTAGCACAATACATCTTCACTAAATATGGATTATCAAATTGAATACAATCATATCCATAAGCACCATTGCATAACCATCACTATCACAATCACAAAAAGTGAGAATATTGAGATCAATTCACAATAATTAATACATAAGACAACATAAAGATTAGAAGAAGATTAATTATAGAATATAGCACAATTAAGCATGGTACAACCAAGCCAGTCCTCAAAGGTTACATAATCAATACACAATTAATGATGAAATCCCTAATATTGAAAGCAAGATACAAATTGCTTGGCTTAGAGCTGCATACAAGCCCTAAGATGAGGTCTAGCTAGCCATGGAGGTGGTGAAAATCTTCATGGAATGTTGAATCTCCATCTCCAAGCACAGCCAAAGGCCTGCTTGTATAATCTTCCTTAAGAGATTGAAAAAACCCTACAAAGAGAAAAAGTCCTCTAATCTTCACCAAAATCAATCATCCTCTTCAAATGGGCCCATTCTTCTATTTATACCTTGGCTAGTAGTTGAGAAATGGTTAGAACCCACACACGAAACTCATCACTTAAGTGCACCCCGAAATGGTTTTGAAGAGGGATCAAAATCTGAAGTTGCAGGAGCTCGAGCTCGAAGTTAAACGATCGAGTTCTTGAGTTCCGAATAGAACTCGAACTCACTCAATCGATCGAGTCGCATAGAAATCTGCATCTTAGCTTGTTTTTCTTGCCTTTTTTAGCCAAAACTTCGTAGAAGCTTTAAAGTACTGGATTTAGCCCTGATTAGCCTTAAGCAGTTGAAATCGAAAATAAAATAAATTAGAACTAAAAAGTTAAACAAAGATAGAAATAGGGTAATAACATATGCAAGAATAAGAGCCGAGATGTACATCTTTCAACACTTATCAGATATTAAATATCATTGAATATTGAACGCCTAAAAATTTTAAAAAATATTTATTTTTTAATTACCACTTAAAAATTTTAACACTTAAAATTTAGTTACTTAAAATTGTCAATACTTAATTTTCAGTTCTATCAAACACCACCTAGTTTTGTTTGATGGAAACAGTTGGGAAAATAATTATGATTTAAAAAAAAAGAAAAAAAAAATTAAGAATTTAGATGGTAGGAAAAAGGAAAATTTGTTGGGAGAGTAACTTTTCGTAATCACCAAACTTTCCTACAAAAAATTTTCTACAAAAATTACCCTAAAAATTTTATTTTTTGAGAAAAATTTATATCAATTATACCCCAATTTTACCTTTTTAAATAAAATGTGTTTATGGATAACTTTTGATAAAAACAGTATAATTGTTATGTCTCTCTAAGTGTCCTATAAATTTTTCTTTTTATTTAGTTTCTTATATTGCTTATATTTTTATAAAAATATAAAATTATTAAAAAACATAAATTTTATTTATACCTATTGTCATATCTAATTAAAATACAGACAATTTAGGTAAATTGTAATATTTTTTATTAACTTTCATGTTAGCCAAAATATGAAATGAGATAAATAAAAGTTTATATATTTTTAATGGACAAATTTCAAAATTTTAAGGCTACTCGTATGGAGGAAAATTGAATTATGAAATGAGACAAAAAAAATTCATGTGAAACAAATGAATTTAAAAAAATTTGGCCCCATTTGGTAGAACTTTCTCGTATTAAAAGTCCTTTATTGATAATACATTTGTGAAAGAAATTTTGTTGAAAGGAATTAATAAGAAAAAGACGTTTGACAGCACATTTCTTAAATTTACTTTAACTTTTAAATTAAGTATTTCTTGACAATAATATCCTTTATTCTTAAAAATTATAACAAGCATCCAATAAAAAGTGTGAAGGCAGTGGTAATGTTGGTGGTGGTAGTGATGGTGGTGGTGGTGAAAAATGGCGGTTGACGATGGCAACGGTAGCGGTGATGGTGGTGGAAGGCGGTGGTTGTTGTAGTGGAAGATGGTGGTGGTTGGTGTCAGTTGTAGTGGAGGGTGATAGTGGCAATAGTGGTGGTGGTAGAAAGTGGCAGTGGCAATGGTGGAAGGTGGCAATGTAGAGGAAGGTCACGGGCGGCCGATGTCGAAAGATGGTAGTTGAAGGTGATGATGGAAGGTGGCAGTAGTGGTGGAGGGTGATCGTGGCGGTGGCAATGGTGGTGGTAGTGGAAGGTCACAATGGCCGTGGTGGAAGGTGGTCAGGGACGGAGTCAGGATGTAATGTAAAGGAGCAAAAATGAATTTTGTGGGACAATAGTGCATTTTTTTAGTAATTTTAGGGAGCAAATGTAATATTTCATAGGTATATTACTAAAAATAAACAAATTATAAGGGTAGAAAAAAAAAATCAGTGTGTTTATGTTCTTAAAGATGGTGAAAGGTCACGGTGGCGGTGGTGGAATGAAGGTAAAAAAAAAAAGAAAAAATGAATATAGGACAATATTATCTATCTATAAATAAATAAAAAATAAAAAAAAAAGGCAAATTAATCAAGTAATAAATTTATCAGTAAAAATAATTGACTTCTTAAAAGAGGTTTCAAAAGTAATATTTCCTTACTTTTCTGAAATTGACTTTCTGACGATTGACTTTTGGAGAAAGTCCTTTACATATATGTAACCAACCCTGATAATAATTTTCAAATGGGCTTTTCAAATTTGGAAGGCCTTTTTGAGGCTTAAGCTCTCCCAAACATGACCTTATTTTCCTTTTTTTAATTTCACTTTCTGGCATCGATCCATCTAACCAAACGATCAGTAGAAGTTTTTGTTATTATTCACATATAACATCATTATTATCACAATAATTTTTTTTCAAAGCACCTAATCCCAATATAAATTCATTTACCCAAAAAAAAATCCCAATATAGAATTCCTTAACCATATTACATTAAAATCATTAGAAGTTTTTGTTATTATTCACATATAACATCATTATTATCACAATAATTTTTTCAAAGCACCTAATCCCAATATAAATTCATTTACCCAAAAAAAAAATCCCAATATAGAATTCCTTAATACATTAAAATCATTAGAAGTTTTTGTTATTATTCACATATAACATCATTATTATCACAATAATTTTTTTCAAAGCACCTAATCCCGATATAAATTCATTTACCCAAAAAAAAAAAAAAATTCCCAATATAGAATTCCTTTACCATATTACATCAAAATCATTAAAAGTTTTTGTTATTATTCACATACAACATCATTATTATCACAATAATTTTTTTCAAAGCACCTAATCCCAATATAAATTCATTTACCCAGAAAAAATTCCCAATATAGAATTCCTTAACCATATTACATTAAATATTCCTTAACCATATTCTGCTAATGATTCCATATTAGAATAAGCTATCAATGATTTCTGATCTTGCATTAAATACACCAATATTCTACTAACACAAAAAAATATATCCAATTTTAATTTTTTTTTTTTCCTTTTGTTGGCTTTATTTCCTTGTTGGTACATGTAGCCCACTTCGGCACTTCCTCATTCACCAGGTAAGACGGAAAAATCCATAGATGTATCCCAAAAAAAATTTAAATTATGATTAACCTCTATAATGTGAGACGATAGTCTTATTTTCATGGGATTTAGTTCCTTGTATATATATAAGACATGAATGATGACTCTCTTAATATATTTATATCAAGAAAGTGTAAATTATTTGTTTCTATTTTTTCTTTTATTGATTAGGGTGGTGGTGTTTCCATTTTTGAGTGAGACGGTCTCCTTTGTTTGTATACAAAACGGGTTTGTATACACGACGGGTCGTTCAACCTCCACCCTTCTTGAGAAAAAAACATTATATTGAGAGTATGATTTTTATTTTATTTCAAAGAATATCAAATAAAAATATTCTCTTGTTCATCACATTTGTTGAGGTACGATACCCTGGTCAGCTCTTAGCCAAAATTCAGAACTTGTAAAATCCCCAACGTTTAAGCATTTTATTATTATTATAAATATAAGTCAAACAATATAGAATATTTTAGGAAAAATTACAGATAATTCACGGTATCACATGTGGTGGCGATATTCTGAATCATCAAAGTTTTCAATTCAAAGCCATTGACAAATCTTTCCTTTTAAATTGGTTTGATTATTAAGGACCCCACCACCCCTCCATGCTTTGAAAAAATCCAATCCAAAATTGACCTTTACCTTTGGTCTAAGCAACAATAGCTACATATCAAACATATACTTACAAAAATAGATATTTACAAGGGTGGGGGGCATACCCCTCGTTATCCCTGTATTTATTTTCTTTTTTATGCAAATTCTTAATTATCGAAATATATATATATATATATATATATATATATATATGAAAATTTATGATTAGTCAACAAAATGGTAGTATGGTACAAGCAGCAAAATTACAGATAAGTCTTATCTGTCTTTGGACTCTCACTGCTATATAAGCCACAGACTTTGTGGGAAAATAAAAATAAAATAAAATTGAAAGTGTGTGTGTGTTTTGTTTTTGCTAGCTAGCTCCATGGTATCTTCTTCAATGAATGTTCTTCTTCTTCTTATTGTGTTGACTATAAACTTGGCTACAGTGACTGTGGCTAGGTCCGGTGGACTGAGCTGGGAGGTCTTATCGGAACAAGAAGCCGATCGGGTTGTGAGACTTCCCGGGCAGCCTCCGGTGAGTTTCAAGCAATATGCAGGATATGTTACAGTCAATCAAACTCATGGAAGAGCACTATTCTATTGGTTTTTCGAAGCCATGGAAAAACCCGAAAAGAAACCTCTCCTTCTGTGGCTCAATGGAGGTATAACTCATTTCACAGTATATGATTTCCATTCAGTTCTGATATTATTAGTCTGAAACAAGTCATTTCATTTTCACTTCTGGTTTTTGTCTTTCTTTCTGTCTTTCTTCATTGTTTTCCTTTTCCTTCCCTGAGGGTGTTGTGGTGTTTTTAATTGCTAATTTATATTATAATTAGGATTTTTTTTTTTTCCTCCTCTATATATTTTTCACCAGACTCCTTTGAAGTCGGGAAATGATAAGATATACGTAATCTTATTTAAATTATCTTTCTCATTAGAAGATGTATCTTATTTAAATTATCTTTCTCATTAGAAGATGTATCCTACTATACTTCTAAAACATTCTATATTGTTTTTGGAGTTGGAGAAATTGAAATGTGTGGGAACTTATCAACCTTATCTTAATGTATCACATTTTTAAGAGTGTTTTTGAGCTCTAATTGACTGAAACATTGGCCAATACCCACCCTCATATTTTACTTCTAACATGTTCTATAATATATATACATATATATATATATATATACACACACACACACACATGCATATAATAGTGCTACATTGAGTTGTACGTCAAATTAAAAGTGTCTAGCTTGAACGTAGCAATGATGATGGGTGCTATATTCTAATAAGACCAGCAAGCGGGTTTTTGTCTAGTTAGTTAATCGTTTTTATTTATATGAAATATATATACAATACAATTTCTTGTTTGGTTTATTCTTGGCGGGATTAGGTAAAATTCCAGCTATATATATTCCATTCACCCACCACCATCTTGTTGTATATTTGCTGCAAATCAATTAATTTTTAATAATTTTCATAAAATCATTGTTTATTGATTTAATTATTTTACTATTATTTTAGTAAAATGACTATGAAGTTATTCTTGAATAATATATTGGAGATGGATATAATGAATATTTACTGCAAATCAATTAATTTTTAATAATTTTCATCAAATCATTGTTTATTGATTTAATTATTTTACTATTATTGTAGTAAAATGACTATGAAGTTATTCTTGAATAATTGGAGATGGATATAATGAATATTTAGTGCAAATCAATTAATTTTCAGTAATTTTCATCAAATCATTGTTTATTGATTTAATTATTTTACTGTTATATTAGTAAAATGACTATGAAGTTATTATTGAATAATTGTAAATTCTATATAATGAAATAAAGAAAGATGCATGGTAGGTGGTGTAACTTCCTTTTCACTAAAAATAAGCGGTCAAACTCCATAATTGCGGATTACTTGAGCTTCAATATTGATCAATTTCATAACTACTTTCCTGATCTTAATGATTCATAGGGCATCAACTTCCTTTATCCATCCTATTCATCCTATATAAGCGGTCAAACTCAATAATATATATATATTCAGAAAGGGAAAAATATATGTGTGGGAAAAATATATGTGTGCGTGTGTATATATATATATAATTTTTTTTTGACAAATTCATATAGGATAATATCAACATTAATTCAATGATTTTCTTTACTTTCATAATGAAATAATTGCATTGCAAATCTTGGAAAAATTACTTTTGAAAGCGACTGCACATTTGGATTGGACCTATTAACTAGAAGAATCAGCTCTAACGTCGTGTTTTGACTTTATACCTAATATATTTCCTAGTATGAATAGAAACATGCCTAATTTTAGGTAAATATAGTATAGTGTGATTTACTTTCTGATCTTCTATACATGCATATCTATTTATTTATTTTTATTTTTGGTAAGTCAGTAAGTGAAGAATATCTATAAACTTTATGGCTATCCCAGGGCTGTACACATATCTATATATCTATATATCTATATATTGTTTAATTATTATGAATTTATATATAACAGTGGTGATTATAAAAGGAGCGTTATAGATTGATGTCCTATTTACAAAAGCTAATCACAAAGCGAGACATAAATAAAATTTTTATTGATAATGATATAAAGTTAACATATTTATTTATGTGACTCGTAATAAATTATCAGATAGAAATATTAAATTTAATTTATATATTTATATATGCCTATTGATCTCTAGCACACACACCAAGCATAATTTTCCCGTGATCATGCTTTTTGTACGGGTGGAAAATTCTCTCTGTCACCGAGTCACCGTGTGTTAGCAGAGGCGAAGCCGGGTTAAGCTCAATTAATTTCGATAGGGTTAATTTGGGCCTGGACCCAAACCCATACCAATAACTTATTTTGGTCGAGTTGGGCCCAACCCAATGTTTTAACTAGCACTTCAACATTTCAGGCCCAGGATGCTCATCAATTGGATATGGTGAGGCAGAGGAGTTAGGCCCGTTCTTCCCTCAGAAAGGCCAACCAGAGCTTAAATTCAACAACTACACGTGGAATAGAGGTACATACAATAATATAACCTTGAGAAATGACACTACTAGTTTTCGTTATGCTATTTAAATTTCAATTATTTTTGTGTCCCACATAGTTACGTTGTCTGATTTGTTTTTGGAATTTTCCTTTCTGAAGACAATTAATATTGATTGTAGAGTGCTTAGTATTAATCATCATATTTTTCTTCAGTGGCCAACTTGTTGTTTGTGGAGTCCCCTGTTGGTGTTGGATTTTCTTATACAAACACCAGTAGTGATATCAAGCAACTAGGTGACAGTATTACAGGTATTTTTTTTTTTTTTTTGTCACTCTTAATTTATATCAATTTAAATCATTTCTAATATATTTAATTTTTCCCTAACAATGATTGTTTTTTAATGATTAGCCAAGGATTCATACATATTTCTAGTAAACTGGTTTAAAAGGTTCCCCCAATACAAGTCCCATGACTTCTACATTTCCGGAGAAAGCTATGCAGGTACGAAGAAACTCATGTCCATACCTGCATGAGTAGTAATATATTTTAAATATAATTTTAAAATAAAACTATTATGTATTCGAACCTTGTGATCCAAGACAATCACAAGATATCATGTAATTAAATATCACCTTATGATTGTATAGAATCTTGTAATTGATCAGGATCTTATAATTCTCGATTATGTAATAATTTCTCTAATGTTAAAAATTTATTGACAAGTTTTACCCAACAAGTCAATGAATTTTTAAATTTCCATTTTACCCTTTTTAACTTGCAATTACAATTTTTATGAATTGTCATGCATATATTTCAGGGCATTATGTCCCGCAGCTATCAGAATATATTTTCGACAGTAATAAGAATGTTTCCAAGGAAGATTACATAAACCTGAAGGGTTTCATGGTGAGACTAACTATATAATTAAGCTTTTTGATTAAAATTTAATTATATATAATGCTCAACAATATGAATGTGAATGGACATGCATGAACAACAATGCAGGTCGGGAATGCACTGTTAGATGACGAAACAGATCAGACGGGGATGATCGATTACGCTTGGGACCACGCTGTGATATCGGATCGAGTGTATAAGGATGTAAAGAGCAAATGCAACTTCAGCGAAGAAAATCCATCTGATGACTGCAATAACGCCTTGAATGAGTATTTTGCTGTTTACGACATCATAGACATGTACAGCTTGTATACGGCAACCTGTGTCGATAGCAACTTCAGCAGCACTAGACAACTTCGTCCCATCATCCAAGGCATTGCTCCCCAATTATTTTCCAAAATTGTGAGTCGTTTTCCTTATATATATATATATATATATATATATATAACTCTGGGGATAGAAATATAACCTAATTCAATCATCACAAATTTAAAAAAAAAAAAAAAAAAAAAAAATATTGAATCAAAAGCACACACTCACAACATTGCTCCTAGTAGGAGTCTTTATTTTACTTTCTTAAATGAAAAATCATACCAAATTGCTCTCTTCAAAATGAGAAATATGTTATTGGTTCGGGCCTTTAAAATATACAGTTTATCTAACTTTCGCTATGCAAGATATAATGTCCTCTCTTTAGTACATGCATGTATTAGTGTGCACGTATGTATATATATAGTGAGAGAGAACGTTATACATGCATGTATATGTGTGCGGGTATGTACATATATATAGAGAGAGTATGTTATACATGCATATATATGTGTGCACGTATCTATATATATAGATAGAGAGAGAGGGATAGGGTTTGTTGCCTTGAGAAAATACTTCAAATACATTTAATAGGAGAATAATAGGTAGTCTCCGATGCCATATCCAACCATAAGTAGACATGCAACCATAAAATTGGCACACTTGGTTGCATGTCCACTCAAATTATATTATAATTTCTCTTTTAATAGAAATTTATATATATATATATACACATACACACATAGGAAAAAAAAAAAAAAAATAGATTAAAATTTTAATTGAAGTATTAATGAACAAGGATTAAATTGATTTTTTTTACAGATTAAATTGATTTTTTTTACAGAATGGTTGGCACAAGAGACCAACAGGTTATGACCCCTGTGCATCAGACTACACTGAGGTATACATGAATAGACCAGACGTTCAAGAAGCACTCCATGCAAATGTCACCAATATTCCCTACCCATGGACTCACTGCAGGTAATTATTTATAAGCATATTTACATATATAACATCAACTTTTCATTATTCGTAGTCCTTTTAATTATTTTCATTATATAATAAAACCATGTCACAATATATATCCTAATCATGAATTTCTTTTATTTTGTTTGTAGTGATAATATCACATTTTGGGGTGATGCACCAGCCTCCATTCTTCCAATTATCAAAAAGCTTATAGCGGGAGGCCTCCGAGTATGGGTATACAGGTATTTAAATCTCATTTTCATACTTATTTCACTTATTTAATAACTCGATAAAATGAAATAATTTCTAAATTTAATGTTAAATTGGAAATACATTACTATTTTTTAGTGGAGATACGGATGGAAGAATTCCGGTGACGTCGACAAGATTAACGTTGAACAAGCTTGGATTGAACACCACTGAAGAATGGTCGCCTTGGTACACTAAACACAAACAGGTAATGTTTTAATTTTGATTTATTTTAAATATTTAAAAAAATATAATTATTGATGTTAAAAATTAAATTAAAATTGGAATTTTGAACAGGTTGGAGGGTGGACAATAATGTACGATGGGCTGATGTTTGTCACGGTGAGAGGAGCAGGACATGAAGTTCCAAGTTTTAAGCCCTGGAAAGCCCTTCAACTAATTAGCCACTTCTTGGCCAATAAAAAATTGCCATCTGCACCATTTTAGTATTGCAAATAATTTTAGTTTTTTTTTGAGCCTCCCATTTACATGAAGAAAGCAATTTATCTCTTCATTTACAAGTGAGATTCGAGAGGAACAATTTGATTTTATTTCAAGTAACAATAAATGTAGTGAAATGAAGGCATCAAATTTGATGTGATCAAATATCAAGTAGTTTTGGCTCAACAGTTTTGGACTCAAATCGCTTAAATTAGCCCCAACAATTTGAGCTCTAATTGAAATTAGTAGACTCTTAAACATACTGCTCATTTAGACTCAAGAAAATGTGACTAGTGTTGAATTGCGTATGACCACTTTTTTTCTTTTTTCTTTTTTTGTGATTTTAACAAGTTTTATAATTATACATTGATAAAGAAAGCATCAAAATATAATAATATAAAAATTTAGAACACATAGCCAATATAAAAAATTTATATACATGTTTCAGAAATTTAAAGGTAATGCGTCTGTTGTGTAATAGTTATGGAGAAGATATGGCCCCGTGACCATAAATAATGTGAAGGGAGAAAACGAGTGATGTCTTGCGTGTGAAGAGAGATATATGTATATATATATATATATATATATATATATGTACGTGTATATATATCATATGTACGTGCATGTAGTAAAAATGAAATGATGGCAGATTGAAAAGTAGAGTCTGGAACACTATTGAAAGAAAGAAAATAGTGACGGAAAAATAGTAGGGCTTTGCTAACTACTTTCGCTTTACAGTCGTTTGTCCTATTAGTATAGGAATTAGATTCCATTTGTGATTTGGGTTAGAATCAGTTATCATTTATGACTTGTCTAGGTGTAGAAATCTATCACCTTTCCATTTGTTGGCCACGTGTTTGTTTACGTTTAATTGTTGTTAGTATTTTTTATTTTATTTTATTTGAAGTGTAAATTTAAATTGTATAAGATTTTATTTAATAACAGTAAAATACATGACCCAAAAATCAAACAATACAATACAACCCATCAAGTGAGCAGGAAAAAAATAAAAGTAAAAATAAAAAAATAAAATAAAAAATACTAACAACAATTAAACGAAGACGATAGGTAAACAAACACGTGGCCAATAAATCATGTGACTTGTTAGTAGGACAAAGTAAAAGAAGTTACTGTGGTGATAGGTTTCTACACCAAGACAAATCATAAATGATAACTGATTCCTAGACAAATCACAAATAGGATCTGATTCCTATATTAATAGGACAAACGACTGTAAAGCCACACTCGCGCAAGGCGATTGTGGTTAGCAAAGCCCATCACAAATAGGATCTAATTCCTATACTAATAGGACAAGCGACTGTAAAGCCACAGTCGCACAAGGCGATTGTGGTTAGCAAAGCCCAAAACAGTTCTAGATTTGAAAGGAAAGTTGGTGGCATGGCAGACAAAAAGGAAGTTGATGGAAAAGTTTGAAGAATTAAGTTAGGCGCAGTTGCTGGAAAAGTTTGAAGAATTAAGTTGGGCGCCCAACTTTGGAAATTGAAGTCCGAGTCGACCATTAGAATTCAGTCTGTACAAAGAATTCCCACTTGTTTAGAATTCAAGAGATCCTTAGAATTCGGGGCCTCTCATTTAAAGGATAACAACGGCTGGAAACCCCGTAAGTTGAAGAGCAAAAGGAGGAATCCACCTGAGGAGGAACTCGCATCTGATTAACTATTTTGCCCAAGCCTAGCTGAGGAAGAGTTACGAAGCATGTAAAACAAAAAAATACACTGATGGTGACGGGCATATTATGTGTAATGATTCCATTATTCACGATAAATAATAAAAGTGAAGGTCATTCCATTTCGACAAAAGACCCACACCCAAGTTCCATAGTCGCGTGATCCGAACTGAAAACGGGTTTTTGGAGTTAGGTCACCCTTGCCAGATCGCAACCCTTTGTCCCGACCATTGTAACACGTTGTAGGGCTTCTTCCTATTCACTATAAAAGAATGTGAGCTTGAACAAAATGAATCGAACCTATTTAAGAATGAAAAATTGAGTGAATTTGTAACTCTTTTGAGTTGTTAGAGCTGTTGTTGTCTTTTATTTATGTGAGATTTATTTCTCTTCCGCTTTCACTAGTTAGCTTAATTGGAACCAATTTGAACTCATAAACAGCACAACCAAAAATTTGAGTTGGTCTTTTTGGTAATAGATTTATCTTTCATTTGGTTGTTTGGACTCTATAAGACTATAACAAGTCTGGGTTTTGTTTGGCAAGCGAATTGAGGTGTTTCTTGCAAGTAAAGTCTGCTAGACAAAATTTTTTGGATATTCTCTCTAATTCCATTAATGTAGTATGTGTGTGTATATATATATACTAGTAAAAGGCACATGCGATGTACGTGATAAATGTCTTCTAACTTATATAATTTACATTTCGTATATTTTTTAATTGTTTATTTATAAAAAAAATAGACAAAACAGTTTCAGCCTAGAATGCATGAAAATATAGGCAAAAAAATAGGCAAAACAATTTTTAGATTATAATAATTGTCACCTCAAAAGAAACAAAATATACCGAGAAAGGTTAGCCAAAAGGTCGACCTAAAAAAATTTAGTACTACACTTTATCTTAGCCAAAAGGTCGAGAAAGGTGTGATTATTATTTCTTTAGGTCTATAGTTTAATAAGAAACTTCCATGTAATCTTTTTTACTTAATACCAATGTGGGACAAGAAAAATAAATTTTATTAGGCAATTTGTAATTTGAATTAAACTATTTAAATTAATTTTTATAAATTTTATTAGGTAATTTGTAATTTGAACTAAACTCTTTAAATAATTTTTAGGTAATTTTTTGTTTATAAAAACTCTTTTTTTATATTAATAAATAAATACTGAAATACTAAAAATCTTAGTCTGATCTTAGCCAAAAGGCCGAGAAAGATTAGCCAAAAGGTCGAGAAAGTAGTATTACACTTGATCTTAGCCAAAAGACCGATCCAAAAAAATTTAGTACTACACTTGATCTTAGCAGCCAAGAAATGTGTGATTATTATTTCTTTAGGTCTATAGTTTTATAAGAGACTTCCATATAATCATTGTTACTTAAAACCAATGTGGGACAAGAAAAATGAATTTTAATAGGTAATTTGTAATTTGAATTAAACTCTTTAAATTAATTTTTATAAATTTTATTAAGTAATTTGTAATTTGAATTAAACCCTTAAAATAATTTTTAGGTAATTTTTTGTTTATAAAAACTCTTTTTTATATTAATAAATAAATACTAAAAGCCAAAAGACCGACACTTGATCTTAGCCAAAAGACCAAGAAAGGTTAGCCAAAAGGCTGACCTAAATAAATTTAGTACTACACTGCTAAGGCCGAGAAAGGTTGTGATTATTATTTCTTTAGGTATATAGTTTTATAAAAGGCTTCCATATAATCATTTTTACTTAAAACCAATGTGGGACAAAAAAAATGAATTTTATTAGGTAATTTGTAGTTTGAATTAAACTCTTTAAATTAATTTTTATAAATTTTATTAGGTAATTTGTAATTTGAATTAAACTCTTTAAATAATTTTTGGTAATTTTTTATTTATAAAATGTGACGACCCTGGATTTTTCAACCCAGTGTGTCCTGTGATGAAACGTAATTTGATCCGATAATGGATCCGAAATACAGAAGCGAAAACAGAAAACAAGACTCTAAGAAATCAAAGTGACCTTCCATGAGGTCGTGGAACTCAATGAGAACTGATGTGGAAGCAAAAGACCAAAAATATGACAAATAAGCCCCTAGGGACAAAATAGTCATTTCTGAAAATTGTGGACTCCACCGAGCACACCACTAGAAGGAAAACAAAAAACTAATCAAGATGGACTCAAGAATCACTTGATTCGGAGTCCGGATGAAGAAGATATGAAACTCCAAAGTTTCATAAAATCAAACTTTTGGGTTTGAAATCAGTGCGGCAAGGGTACTTTACAAGGGGTAAAATGGTTTTTTTAGAGAAAATTAGATGCAACTGAGCATACCATTAGATAGACCAGGAAAAATTAATGAATCTAGACTCAAGAATAACTGATTCGGAGTCCGGACGAAGGAGATATGAAACGTCAAAGTTTCAAAAAAATCAACTTTTGGGTTTAAAATCAGTGCGGCAAGGGTACTTTACAAGGGGTAAAATGGTCTTTTTAAAGAAAACTAGATGCAACTGAGTATACCGTTAGATAGACCAGGAAAAATTAATGAACTTGGACTCAAAAATCACTTAATTTGGAGTCCGGATGATGAAGATATGAAGCCTCAAAGTTTCAAAAAAACAACTTATTTTCCAGGTAAGAAATCTGGGCAGGAATAGTGTTTTTACAGCAAGCAACATCTGATTTTTTTTTCCAGACCCGAGGCTAAAAACGGACACTTAAACAAATTTTTCTAGAAAAACACGAAGAAGAAACCCCCCTCAAAATCATGTTTTCTACCCAGAAATGTGGAAGAAACAAAAAAACACAAGCTGTAAAATCCCTAAAATGCCCCCTAGAATAGCCTAGGTCAAGAGAATCCAAAAAGTTGCTACACAAATATTTTTCAGAATCTGCCCACAACTGAGAGCAAAAACGGGCTATCAAATTAATTTTTCTGGAAAAAAACGAAAAAAAAACCCCTCCCGAAATATAGTTTTCTACATGACTCACAAGAGAATTCAAAAAAAAACTTAATGTAGAATGTCCAAAATGCCCCTCCATGAAATCTGGTCATGAGGGTCATAAAGCTGCTAATTGTAAAACTGGAAGCTGAACTTTGCAATGGATTTCCGATATCAAGACGACATTTTCTGAAAAAATATGAAGAAGAAACCCCCCCTAAAATCACATTTTCTAAGCGACCATATTGAAAGAAGAAAATAAAACTGATGTGAAAAGTCTAGAAAGCCCCTAGATCAGAAAAGGGCAAAAACAAGGAAAATGCAACTTTGCACCAAGTGTTCATTGGGCCCTAAATGCATTTCTAGGTTGAAACGAATGTGCACGCAAGTGTATTTAGTATTTTTAAGCGTGTGGGAATGGTTCATGGCTCTCAAAAATTGCCGATGCAAAATCCGACCCCCTGACGGCCAAAAGAGGAGAAAATGCACATGAAAAGGAAATCTTGAAACTTAAAATTATAAAATGGTTTCAAATTACCGTTTGGCCCTTGGCCACACTTCAAATATGATTTATAAGAC